ACATGACACATGGCATATTCATCAAGAATATGGATGTATCATTTATCATGAATATTGTAAAATATTCATCATGAATATGTGATTCATGATAAATAACATATCCATATTCTTCTTGGTTTACCTGATAGGGACTTTGAAGAATCCTTCATTATCACCTAGATTTTATTAATAAAGAAAGCACCAAGATAGAACTTAAAAGTGCAGAATCCCTCTTGCTGCGGGGGTTGGAAGGCCCTAGAACCCCCTGGCCTTGTACCAAAGCAGTTTATAATTCATAATGAATAACAATTAAAAGATTTCATATTCATCAATGAATGAATATTCATCCTGAATAGGAACACATAACACACTGTTAACGGTTCTCGAGTTCTTAATCAACTTTGGTTTCCTAGCGAAATTTCCCTGGCCAAAACATTACAAATTGGCTTGAATTTGTAAAATTTACCAACTTATTTGAACTCAATTAACATTCATATAACCAACTTCTAAAATTTTCATCTTGGTCCAATTTTTGGGAAACCAAAGAGAAACAGACATTAATTTCATTCTTATTTTGAGGAATACAAATTCATTCACCCAGTCTCACAAATGAGAAGTTTATACAATTGGTTTCACAAATAAGAATAAAAACAAAGTTGGTTTCTTTCGGTACATATCAAAATGAACCAAATGCATATTACACCATATATTGTTTCACTATACACACATACATACACAAACACATTTTATATTTGTCGATTTAGTTTGACTCCTCGGTAATTTGGGATAGATATGACAGAACGATAACCTTTGTTCCTATTCAGCACAGCATCAGTGAGATATGATAAAGTCACCAAAATAGGTGGAACAAACTCGAAGACAGACAAGAATACAAGATTGGTAAATTATTAAACTACCTATGTCAAATTAAACCCCAAGACCATGTAAAATTCTTTCACCTGCTTACCTCAATCTCGCCCATCCACTCATGTCCCTTCCCTGGTGCATAAACATTCAATTGATTCATATTCCACCATAATCATGGTCATCAACAAAAGAGGGATGCAAACCAAATTAAACATAAAATGTAGTTCCCTTTTGGCATCAGCAGCAAAGACGGAATATAACAAATGTTGATGGCTAAATGTATATAACGTTATGGTAGTCTAGATCACAGGTCTGTTACTTCTGAAATTAGATACCGACAGTCCTACTTTAAGCTCTAAAGAAACCTTACAGACGGACTACTGTTTGGATGATGTCAACTGCCTCAAATTGTATTTAGCCAATTCCTTGTACTTGTCAACAACGCCGATACAACACACAGTCTGCACACAGATATACCATCGGTTAGCAGCTATTATATAACTAATTAATCGGAGTGTCGTCACAATGCTTCAAGCTACAAAAGCAGTAAGTAATCCTCAACTATATAACTTTCTTTCTAATCTGAGTTGATCATATTACTCCACAAGCTTCATAATTGATAGGGAAAAGAAAGAAGAAAGAAATGAAGCAGTACGGTTAAAAAAGAACGAAAACATCTTGCTTATACGCCAATTCAGGAAAACTCACACAATCACAATTGGATTATCCATATAGCTATATATATATATATATATACATATAATTGTATGTAAATATGTATGTATGTATGCATATACATATATAAATTTATATACATATATACACATAAGAGTGCATATACATATATACATGTACTTACACATATATTTGAAGCAAATGGTACAAAACCCACTAGTAATTCAGGATTATACACGACTCCATGTTAATGGCAAATAGCCCTCGTATTGACAAACTAAAAATGTATTATACGATTCTATAAAATGTATCCTAAATTTTATACCTTATTTGTGGTGTCTGTATTGATTGGTACGAAGAGTTACTTCATCCGAAGGTAGCCACATGAATAGAAAGGGCTTCGTTGGTATTATGGAAATCATAACTAACCACTAATAGGAGAAGACAACATGCACATGATTAATAATTTAATATAGCTATATTTGGTGCATACATCACTAGAATGCTGACTTTTTATGTTCTATATTTTGTTAAACGTAATTCATGAAATTGGCATAGCGGTTCTTTATCACATTCAGACTGACAACTAAGCATATAACTGAGTGCAAATAACAGTATCCTTTGTGTGTTGTTAAATTATTTATTAGTTAGCAATTTGGTTATAAAAACACAAAGAAATGGAAAAAGAACAGGAGGAACAATATTTATTTTATCTTTGGTTTTTTGAAACTAAGTACAACATAATTATGACATGGATCATTTACTGTCAACCATCAACCAGTCTTCCATAGATCAATGAACGATATTAAATTAGTAATTGAGTTTAGGTACGTTTCCGAGCAAGCACCTACGGAACACTATAGTTGACGTGAATGTATGACAGCTGCTCATGGGATTGTGGAGAACTTTGGCATGCTTAAATAATTAACCTGTATTCTGAAGCAGATTCCCTTTTTTCTGAAGTATATCATATTTATGAACTCACACACCCTTCTCACCTTAGGTGAGGTTTGAACCCTTGGCCTCCTGAAAGGCTAGGCTCTAGCAGTAACCCGAATACCACTAGGCCAAAGACCCTTTCGAAGCAAATTCCCTTTAGCGGATATTATATCAACAGTCACGCACAATATCAATAATATACTTGGCATGTGTGACATTTTATAGATTGCACTATCAACAATGCTTGGCAGCCATTTACAAGTTCTCCAACTCGCTCATGATTTTCAAGTGTGATACTTCCATGCAAATGAACAGAAAATAGGTGTTCATAGCTACTAGAGCCACATATCTAACTAGAAGAAAAGAAGCTTTGCAAGAAAGTAGTTTGTAGGGTAAATTTTCCAAGCAATGGAGTTCTGAAAGGATAGCATGTAGTTACCTTGGCAATTTGAACCACAATAGTCCTCTCTGGATTGGTAAGATCAACTTTGTGGGGTTCTGGAACAGATTTTGCAACTACATTGATAAATTTCATTTTCTCGAGACCGCTATTTGCACGGGCCTCACATAGCACTGCAAACTGGAAAAAGAAATATTTAGACAGCAATGTAATAATAGCAACTAACGTTGCATTCCAAAGACAATGTGGATCACTCATGCAGCACTTGTGGACGAAGAGGCAGAGAAGAGAAGGTAGAATAAATTATAACCAGATTACTGTAACAGGAGAAGCAAAAGGAGCGCCAATATTTATTAGAACACCCTATTAAAATGCTTCTAAGATACAACTGCAAATCAAAGCTAGTACAGTTGTACTTCTGCACACTTTGTAGCATACAGATTTCACACTCTGGTCTTCACTAAATTCCCAATCCCTTAGGTGGCCTCTATTTATGAAAAGCGGTTCGGGCAGGCAAAGAGAAGTCGAAATAGTCAATATATACCAGCATGTATGACAAGTTAAACCATTATAACTCATTTAGAATGACATACAAACAATTTTAATGAACGGATATCAAAAAGAACGTGTGACCGAATCATTTGGTGGCTCATTAAGAAGCAAACAAACAAGCTCAAAAAGGGCCACATTCACATCTTTGACATTTTTGGAAACCTCCACGAGATTGGTAAAGCCAAAGCCTTCAGTTGTGTTTCGTCGTCAGTTTACTTGGTTGAGGGTCATGCCTCATGAGTATTACCTTCTCATTGGCGCTTTTCTTTTACTTCAGACAATAGCAAATTCTACATACGTTCTATGATGAGTTTATGTCAAATGTCTAGTGTCCATTCCAAGTACTATATAGAAGTATATGTAGACGGATATCATTATACCTATCACATATATACATAAATTGATACATACATATATGTAATATATGTATGTATGTATAACCATAACATACCTTATATGGTGTTTCTGCTTCTACTGGGAAGTATTGAGCAATTAAAGGCTTAATTGCTCGTGAAATCTCTTCTTCTGATGCATAGCATGTCACTTCGATGGGTAGCACTCTTAAAATAAACCTGAGTACGGATGAAAACTTTAAAACACCCTAACGAGGCATTGAAAGAACCAATTGTGAGACCTTACACTTAGTTGGTAGTTCATTTGACCATGCAACCCCTTGGGTTATCTCTTTACACACATAACATCATATGGTCCGTATCTGTGTTTATGTGCGAGTGATGTGATATACCAATAAATGAAGTGGGGTGTCAATTGAAATTTAATGTCGAAACTTAACCTGGACATGTGTTTCCTTGTTGCGGCAGCAGAAGTTATCATGCGCTGGGCAATTTCTTTAGGAGTTGGGTCTTCATCTCTCCTGCGCATTTGGACAAAGATTACACCATTGCAGCCAGTATCAAGGTAGTTGAAGTGCCTCTGTAAGACAAAAGAAGGAACTTTCTAAGCCATTAGGAAGATGAACTCCTAAGTTCAAAAATCAGTCAAAACACATCTTATTACTTAGGGCAATGGCTTATAGGATACAGTAGAGATGAGGTTGAACTCCACCAACAAGGCAAGAAAATTCCTCTGGAGTCCTTGTAAACATATCAAGTAGAATGCTCACTGATCAAAGAAGACTGACTAGAGCAATAACAAGTCAAGAATGCTTCATACATTGCCTCACACTTTCTCAAGACAAGTTAGTTTGTAGCAATTAGCACTTCACATCACAAATTAGTCAAGAATGCTTCATCCCAGCATCATCTGTCTTACTTCCTTGTTCTTCATCCTGATTTCTCCACCATTTTTTTCATATTTTCTCAGCCATCAATCCAAGTGATCTTATACCAATTTAACAAGACCTAACACTTTCTATGGAATGAAAATAACTAGTAAGTAGTAACAAAAGAAGTGATTGGCCGACTTTCAGGAGGTCAGCCTTCTCTCCCAAAACCCTAAGAAACCAATATAAAAATGGCCAAATAATTTTTTTGCCTCCCTAGTCATTTAGTTAATCCCATACATATCAGGAATAAACACTTTCCTACTTGATAAACTGGCCCAAGGCCCAAGCTTGAGTCTAACAATGACCTGTAAAAACATATACTTGAATGTGCAATATGGTTGCATAAAACTAGTCATTGATAAGAAACACAAAATGTCTATTCCAACATCAACCCATTAGGTTCATCTACTGGAAGAAATAATCATGCTATTATAAAGCAGACTCACCTTGCTTTTGTCTTTCAACTCTTCAAGTTCAGCTTCTATTAACTTGTCAACAGACTTTTCCTCCAACTTGCTTTTGATGACTTCTTCACATTTGGATTGGTCTGTTTCTATGCGTTGTTTCTTTCCTGGTTGCCTCTCATCTTCAAAGTTTTCATTTTCAACATTTTCATCGTCATTCTTACCATCTTCTCCTTTCTCGTTTGTCTGATTCTCTGAACAGACTTCACCCTTCTGAGGAGAGAGAGAAGTTTCTTGATTTGCTTCATTCTGCTGATCAGAAACTACAGCAACTTGGCCCTCTTCAGCTGTCTCATTATCTTGGTCCTCGTCCTCTTCAGAATCAGAATAAGTGAACTTTATCTTTTTATTAGTGGGCTTATTTGATAACACTGTCTGCTTCACATCTGGGTCCTTTCCCTCAACTAGCTCTTCATAAAACTGGCATATACGATAAATAAAACAAATAAACGTTAAATTCATTCTTTTACGCAAATTTCATGTCATATTAACAAGTGATGTATGAATCACTAATAAAATCCATGCTGTAAAAATTATACTCCAAAGATGCAGAACATCTGTAGATAACATAGGCAAGACCTGAAGCAATCACTGCTCAGTGACAAGCTGACAATCATGCATGATTTTTACCTTTCTAGAATGGACAAGAGAAGGAAGCTCCAAGGATACAACAAAGAAATAGGTTGAAAATAATACCAATAACGTAAGATCGTTGTAATACATTCTGTCATGAAAAAGATTGACAGAAAATAGCTCATCCAATATTTTAACTTAATAAATTATATGCTGAAAGTTTAACATGCAACACCTCACATACTTTATCTGAGATTTATGAATAACAGAGATGAACATGAAATGCAGTAAGAATCTATGCCGATGATATTTACATCGGTGCTTGACATAGAACGAGAAAACTAAAGAATTGTTGCTATAGAATTTCCACTTCTCCAGCTATGATGTTATGATGCCTATAAAAGCCACTATCCTACACCATTCATGCAGCATTTGACCATCAAAAGTAGGGCAACAAGCCCGCACAGAACCAAACCAAGCTCAAACATGGCTCCATGGAATTGACTGTAAGATCATTACTCGGATTCCTCTCAAGCTCAAAGAAATATTAGTACGTTAACCTTGAGTCCTACTCCGAATAAAAGTAGAACGAATGATATATGCTTCGCTTGTCTCAAAAAATTTACGAACCACCATGAGTCTATGAATCGAGCTCGAACTCCATGCAAATAAAATAATTCTTTTTAAAGTCCAAGTAGAGAAAATTAAGTTTTAAATTAGACTTGGTCATTGCACATTAACCAAAAATTAATTGTACAACAGTGAACAAAATTAATATTTTAAATCTTCTAGGTTTACATAGTCTAAAAATGATTATGTTGTATACTAAAATGAATCACTTATTGTTCCACTTATGTGTCTGCTAAATCATTGCTTAAATTGACTCGACCACCTAGCTCTGCTTAACACTTTTTAGAACACTGCTTACAGCCCTAAAAAAGTCAGTTTACCATGGATAAAAAGACCTCACCCCCTAAATGCCTACTAATTCAGTGGTAGAGAGATTGCACTTAAGTTCTTCAGAAATGATGGATAAGGTCAGGAAACAATCAACATGTCAGTCCTTGTTCCCTATATGGTTTAAGATGAATGCTCAAAGCAAAAAAGAAATATGAAGCACTATGAGGAGTACCATATTAGAATTCAACTTTCAAAATGAACCAAACAAAATTGAAGAGGAAATAATTAACAGACAAACAGCCAATAATATTATCCAATGTCTAGTTAAGAGATGCAAAATAATCATGCAAGGAGTAGGTTGAACAAAGCTGTAGTAATCTCCTAGGGCCCAAAATTTCTGGAGTCTTTCTCCTGAATAAAGCAGCAATTGGAGTGAACCACAAATATTATTCTTGCCATTCTAGGCCTTTTGGGCATGAGATTTTGAGCAACCTTCTTTCTAATCAGTAGTGTCATTTTGTGGAGAAAGAATTGGCCTAGAGCTAGACTTTGCAAAAACCTTACCCAAAACCGTGGTACCCAAAAGATATGGGTAACTGGTGCATGATATATTACCTTATATTAGCTGGCTAAATATACCCAATGCAAATGTAGGCCCACAGACACCCGTGGGTACACATTTAAATTTTATTTATTTTTTGAATTATTTATTTATTTAACAATTTAATGCCTTAAGTTTGTATTCAGTTACAGTTGATATCATGCTTGGAAATGTGGCTCAAGCTTCTTTCCTTATTTGGTTTATATAGTGAAGTTTTACAAGGCTGTATCATTTTTACTTCTTGTTACCAATCGTAACGAAAAAGCAATAAGGTAGTAACTCTGTAACTTTTCATTTTCAGGGTAGATTAATAAAAATCAAACTCATTTTTTAACCAAATGGTTTTATTCCAATTGTTTGGTTATTCTTGTCAATCTTCACTTTGGGCACAAAATCTGGCTCATAGTTGATGATTACTGATGATATTCCTAGAATTTGGTGAGTCTATTCCTATATTCATTCTGTCCCAAGAAAAGATTGAGTTTAGAGATGCAAACCAGTTATCTTCGCCAAATGATGATCTATGCTGACTGCTACAGTGGTCAAAATCTGAAATTGCGGTCACGACTGTGATTTGGTATAGTGGTTATCGCAATGGTAAAGTGGTGGTATAGCAGTCAACAAATAGCTATTCATATAACAATTATAATTATATATGTGTGTGTATGCATGTGTACTTTGGCAGTCAAAAGTCCGTCTAGTAGTTATTAAAATTGGCATATTAATATGTATGTTTTGGCATCAATTTACATGCTCCTAACCATTAAAAATACATAATTGAAGTCTCAAATGGCTGGCACCACAACTCTGTGGTAATCTTTCTCATGTCTACTTCGAACTAAGAAGTGGTTGGTTTCTATTCGCTCAAAATTATGTTTATCTTTGGCTCTTTGCTCATATTTGCATGTAATAATATAACTTAGTACTACTTTGCTCATGTATCAAATATTCAACTAAATGTTGTTCTGCGTTTTTCTTTTCGGATATCCTGCTTATATTTTGCATTTCATTTCTATTTGAATATTAAACTCTAATTTATACTCCACCAACATTTATGTCAATTTCCTATATTTGGTGAATATAACTTTCTTCATGCTAGAGATTTGAACTCCTATTTGGAGATTACAAGCTGATCTAGTAGAGTAATATGTGCACCTTTCACACTTTGTTATTTTTTCTGATAGGTCATGGACGTGTCACATTTTGGTGGATACAAAGTACTGATCTTAGGCATTGATAATGATGATCTTATTTGTCTATATGATCATGTATTGAGTTGTCATTTAGTTTGTTATTTATTTCAACCTAGTATCAACTTGAGGCTTTCACTCCACATTATGTGTACATAAAGAACAGATGTACATAAAGAACAGATTGGGTCATTGGGTGCACTATGTATCAAGTGCTTTGGTGCAATATTTCAAAAATACATTACACTTTGGGTGTGGCGTATTAGTATACATATACATCTACATACATAAAATTTAAAAAGAAACCTTAAGCGAGGAAAAGAGAAAGCCGCATTTGAACTCGTACCAAATTATTTCATCCAAGTACTTCAAGTATTACGGCAAAAGGAACGCTTGGATTAAAAAGAAACTAGAGATCACAACCAATAGCCAGAAAAAGAAAAGCATAGGCATAAGAGAAGTCATCATCATAATCATCAATGGCCATTAGTAAAATTATGTCATTTAATTTGATTCATCAGGTAAACAGACAAAGAAAATAAAGCATAGTTTTGACTGTATCCCATCCAATATGCACTCGCTATACATATGGAACTCTTCCAAGGATACTCTAAGAACATACAAGTAGTCATTCCATATTCCATACACCAAAAATAGTTATAGGGCTATAGAGCAATTAGATCATGTTAAAAACAAATAAACCAAATTGCATCCAACAATCTACGCCTTACAGAACTTGGCAAAAACAAAGTACACAGCTTTGTTACAGTAAAGTAGGAAATAAACTGGTAGGCATCATATTTTCAAAAGAATGCATTTTATATTTCAACAATAACAGGTACCACCGTTTGACTTCCAAACCCGAGTGCAACTCTTTCTATAGTATGCTCGAAGTATAATCAATTTTTGAGAACTCTAAACAAGCAGAAAACAGTAATATGATGCCCAACTAGAAAGGTAGCACCACTTGATGTTCAAAAGATAATCAATTTGTCAAAAAAAAATTAATGAACAGAAGTGAATGACAATTAAAATACACACAGCAACAGCACATACAGAATCGATAACTTGAACAGCTTCTTGAGAAGCTTGGCGCTCCCTGCCACCGTCACAAGTGATGAAAAACCCTTGAACTCCTGGACGCAACGGGTATGAACCCTTCTTCACTGCTTTCTGTAGCAAATATAACACCAAAACCACTTTAACCCTCTCTCTGATCAAATAAAAAATGAAAATGAAACAAAAACATCACCATGAAGTTATCACACAACATTAGCAAATTAATTGTTATTTTCATAACCCAATTTACAACCGAACAAGATGGATCACTTAATCGAAAAAGTATGTATGAAGTCTATTCACAATTAGAAGCAAGCAAATAGAGTGAGAAAGAGTACGTTGTGGGGACGGTAATGCTGCTTTCTCTTCTTGTTATCAGAATTGCCATTGCCGGAGTTTGGCTTGTTCTGACTACTCATTTTGAACGGTGCTGTGCAGACGAGGGCTTCGAGTCGATTACTGGAGCGAGCGAGCGTGCGTGCGTGCGTGCGTGAGTGGTTTGATTTGTGAATCGTGAATCGTGACTTGTGTTGTGAGAGCGAGAAGAGAAGAAGGTAACCGTTTGATTGCCAACAGGCCACTGGGCCATGATGTCATTTGGGCCTTTGCAGCCCATAGAAAGAATCGGGCCCAGTTGCTGCTTCCCGAGATTTAAATAAAATAATAATATATCTATACTATATTATGAAGTATTTGACAACAAAAATTGAAAACTATTTTTTATATATTAAGTATTATTTATTGATGTATATTACTTAAAATTCAAGATTATAAATAAATTTTATATAAATATAAGTTATTAAGCTCCATATTTGAACTTGTACAACTAACTGTAGATAAATATAATCAAATACAGGATAAAAAAATTCACATTTTAAATGTATCTAAAAAACCACATAAATCCATATTATAGTATCGACAGAGGCAAAAAAATAAAACAAAACATTAAAATCAAGATATATCTCATTGCATTACGCGAGTACCCTCCTGGTATGAATAAAAGGATGAGGCTATTTTTTAAATACTTAGGGGGTGTTTGGGATTGCTTATCAAAACGACTTATTAACTTATTTCAGTCTGATACCGGAGATAAGCAGTTTTTTAGTGTTTGGGTAAAAAAAACTGCTTATACCGGTGCCAAACCGGTAATAAGCAGTTTTTGATAAGTTAATCCGTTGTGACTTATGAAAATCGACTTATTACCGATTTACCATTTTAACTCTGTCTAATAATCATTGATATCTCTTTCTCCCATCATCATCGCCTCTTCTCCCATCTTTCACCTATCCTAACAGATACGTTCTCCATCTACAAATCATAGATTTCAATTACTTGGATTTGGGATTTGTCGTTCATTTGATGGTACATATGGAAGCCAAAGTCATCTATCAATTTGCGCATCACCGTAACTCACTATTCTGTTTGCCTCGTCCTTGTTGTCGCTGTTGAGCAGCGTTTTTGCAATTTGTTTGTACAAAACTGCGTCTCCCGCTTTGTTTCTCTGAAAAAATCTATTGATTTGTCGTGTGCTGAATCGAATCTATAGTTATGGTTTCCATCTTATTCTTCTGATATGCGACGACTCTATATTGTTTCACATGAATTCGAGTTTTAGAAACCTTCTCGCCACCACGTTTCCGCTGTCCCGCTTCAGATGCTAGAGCCACAAGCCGTGCAAAACGGAAACGTGTATTTGAACAAGCAACACCTGCAGACCAACCGTGGGAGCTCGATTTGAATGAGAAGAGCAAAGGTGAGGGCGATGAAGATGAAGAGAGGGGTGTTGTGGAGTTTCAGATTTTGCGACATTATTACTTGAAAAGTCGAAAGGATAAAACAACGTCTTCTTTGTCCGCATCATCCAAACGGTGTCATTCCGAGCAAAACAGGCAAGGAATTTTTTTTTTTTTTGGATCACGTCTGAAGGTGGTTCTAGCGTGGGAGAACCAGTCGTTTAAGACTGCGATCATGACATCTTTAGATAGAGTAGAAAGAAAAGTAGGGAAAATATAAAGGAATTGAATTGATAGCTTGCAGAATTTTGTCTGTGAATCAGTTACRGAAGCTCTACGAATTCATAAGGAATGCCAGGTGCCAGGTATGGTAGTGGGGATCAATTCATTGATTAGATCAAAATTCTTTGTTCCCAGCATGCTTGGCTGCTTTTGGTTTTGATGTGGATAATTAGGATGAGAATTTTCAACCAGATTCTTGCACATCTGCAAATTTTGCAGTTTATTCTGGTTTGTTGTTGCCCAAGTTATGGGGCAGGTTACACCTTGTGGAGGGAACAATAGTCAAATACTAAAAGATATGCATGTCAATTACACCTATAAGACACAAGTAAATATTGTGCTAGCGTCGATGGCAATTCACAATTATATTAGAATGAATGGAAGTTTTGATGAAGCATTTGACATAGCGCAACAAGAATCATACAACCCTCATATTGATGTTGATGATGAAGGATGTGGTAGCAACAATGAACCACATTAAAACACAAGTTCTCGACGTAGGAGTGACGATCTATATATGAGTGCTGTAAGAGATATGATTGCAGGAGATCTAATAGGTAGATCTAGATGATTATTTATCATAAATGATGATCTATTTTTTTGTTATTGATATTTTGGTTATAAAAGTTTGACATTTTTTGTTATTGATATTTTGGTTATAAATCTATTATTTCATCATAAATTATTAATGGTATTGGTATAAGTGTTTGTTAATTATTAATCTTATTGATATAAATTATTAATCTTATTGATATAAATTTTTGTTATAGATATTATTATAAATGATGAAAAATAAATTTTTTATATGTTAAAAAATCAAATAAGTTAATAAGCAATCTCAAACATTCTTATAAGTCAATAATATAGAAGACTGTCCTTTTTGGTCATTTTACAGATATAAGCAAAATTTGCCAAAAACTAAAAAACAACTTATCAGCTTATTGCAGTTTGATAGCGCTATAAGCTAATCCAAACACTTTTTACAAAACTCCAGTTTGATACCGTATAAGTTAATAAGCACTTTTACAAAAAAGCATAAGTTGTTTTAAATAAGCAATCCCAAACAACCCCTTAGTTTGAATTTAAAATGCTAAATACTAGGCCACGTTTTATTTATTTTTTTAAATTTTTAATTTTTTTATTTGTAGTCAAATTTGTTATTTTTCTTTTGTTGCTTCATCTATTTATTTGTTTATTTTTGTTTTCTATTTCTTCCAAATTTTTGAATTTCATGTAATTCTAATTGTATAAAGTTTCTTTTTTTTTTCTTTATCTTTTCCCATTTCAAGCTTGATTTGCTCGTTCATTTAATCTTCTTATGGTGATTTTAGTAAAATTATTGTTTCATTTTAGTTAATTAGATTCACAAAAGAATAATAGAATTGGTAGCTAAGATATAGCACTAGCTAGAAGGTGTGAAATCCACACTCATGTAAGCTAACTAGAACTCTTAGATTGTTGGAAGGCTTTGTATGGCAAGGTTTAAGTGGTAGAGGACAATGCATGGTGCGTGCGTTTTTGTTCATACAATGTGCATGGGTTATGCATTTTGGTCAGATGGTGAATCAGTAGTTGGTCATTATTTTAGTTAGATGGTGTATCGATGGTTGGTCATTATTGTTCGTAAACATTGATGAGAGTACCTTCAAAGGTAGTGCTTCTATCTGATGAGTATATCTCTGACTGAGGTTTTACTCTAATGAGTTTACCTCATGAGTGATCGGCTGATGGGTACATCAGTTGACACTGACGAGGTCATCAGCTCATGGGTTTGCTATTTATCTATTATTAGCTACTGGATATATCAGTTGATGGATTTTGTCATTGAATGGGTCATCAACTAATAGTTTTTCTATTAAGTGCGGAGTTTGACTAAGTTAATGTCATTGGAAACATCCAATTAAAAGTTCTAATGATATTTAAACACCTTCTTCTTTGTTATGAAGTCAAAAGCTGGAAAAAATATAGGATGGTACAAAATCACGCTACCTAGGTCAAGGGCATGGGAGACCTAGTTTGCGACCTAGGTCACATCCAAAGTTACATGGAAGGATCTAGGCGATTTAAAATCACCTGTTAAGCTAGAGGTTCCTCATTTTGTTCACCTTCTCCACTTTTCTCATCCTTGAGGAGATTTTTGGGAGTTTTGGCTTCATTTTTTAGAGCATCTTGGCGAAGGTCTAGCTTGAGGATTTCAAGAGTTTTAGCTTGGATTCTTCAAGTTCTTGACGAGGTAAGTTTCTTAAGTACTTTGAGCTCTAGTTCGGAGATATTTATAGTTTTGGAACTTGTGATCATACTTAGTGTCTTTTTAGGCTTAGATTGTGGTTTTGTGAAAGTTCTTGAAATGAACTTTGCTTGTGGACATCACACCTTCATCTTTTTGGAAGCTAGAGTTGGACTTTAGCACCATGGGTATTACGGAGGTGATCTCATGTCGAGTCGGACTTTGGACACTTGTACTGTGGTGATGAACTCGTGTAGAGTCAGACATTGGACCCTTGTCTTGAGGTTTTGGTCTAGTAAAGTTGACACTAAGTCATCGAGTGTAATGCAGGGATGAACTCATGCGGAGTCGGGCTCCAAGACCTTTGGCTTCGAAGGTAACTCACCTTGTGTGTGAGACTTTAAGATCAGTGGGTATTAAAGAGGTGAACTCATGTGGAGTCAGACTCCAATACCTTGGGTATTGTGGTGGAAATACTAAAGGGTAGAGTTAGACACCATAACCTTAATCTTGAGGTGCAACTCAATAACGTTGATGTATGTTGTTAGCTTTATTTTGAAGCAAATAATTAACTTGAGAAAGTTTCATGAAACAATCCAGAGCTAGAAGACGAATTGAAGAAGTATCTGCGCCAAAACGTCTAAGTCTAGAAGACCAGCCTCTGTGCTAAAGAGTCACGGAGACCAGAGCCGCTTTCAAAGACTACAGAGCTTCTGTGGTAACCAAAACCTCTGCAAGGCTCTGTGAGGACCAGAGTTCTTGGACTCTAAGTTCCTTGACCCAGAGCCCCTCTGTGAAGACCAGAGCTTCTGTGAATGCTCACAGAGCCTCTGGTGTTGCTCACAGAGCCTCTGGTGTTGCTAACAGAGCCTCTGTTATATTTGACAAGAGACTCTCTGGCTGTGCCGTCCTCTGTCATCTTTTAGACGACTATCTTCAGTTTGCTTATTCTGGATAAGGCTATTCTTGTTCTGGATAGCATTAATCTTATCCAGGTTTGGTAGGTTATTGCCTATAAATAGAGTGTTTCAGATAGAGAAAAATGTAATTAAAGAGCACCAAGAGATTTCTCTTTGTAATAGATAGATTCAAAATCATATGAGAGTCAATTAGGGTTTCTTGAGAGTTTGTAATCTTTATTTTCAATAATAGAAAAGCAGCCGCTATTTCTCTGTTTAATCTTCTTGTTTACTTACTCTTTCAATCTTCTTGTTTACTTACTCTTTCAATCTTCTAGTGTAAATCGTTCTACTGTCAGATCTGGACTATAACAT